TTTTTTTTTTTTTTTTTTTTTTTTTTTTGAAACCAGCGCAGATATATAGGCGACTAGTAGACTCTGAAGTCTGTAAAGTCTAGCGGGAGAACGTTAGTGGAAGAGTGACGTAGGCAATGACGTTCGATGAACCATGTATTACGCGAGCAACGAATTAGCGTAGAAGCGCGACATTCGTAACCTCGCCCGTCCCGTGTACGTAGTCAGAGCGAAAAAAAGCTGCGGCTACTTTTTCTTTCCGTTTAACTTACGAGACAGTGTGCGATGCCATTTCGTGACCGTCCGCGTAAAGATTTTGCACCTGGCTATAATCGGTCCACTCGTGCGAAACATAGAAGGTGGCCGTGATCGGACAGCCGTTCGGATTCTTACGCTCATTTTCGAATAGATCGCTGTACAACGGTTTGTTCAGATCGTTCACGGCATCGTCGAACGTCAGCAGAACGATCTGCGGCGTCTGTTCGACTGGGATTCCACCTAAGTACACGACATTACACACATGTATCGTACGTTGCGCGATTTTCATTCGTTGTCCACTTCTAAGAGAGATCGCGAGATATCCTCGTGCATCGGTGGAATTTATCGCGACCGAATCCATGTGACACGCAACGCTTATCAGAAAAACGAAATCTCGTTGGATAAAGAAGCGCGGTTGATCCATTGCTTAATTAGAAACGAAACATAAGCAGAGACACCCGACTCTGGCAGATTCTTCCGGATGATTTATGCGAGGTATGCGGTTGCACAATCCACTCTAGACGCATGTACAGCTAGCTAGGCTGTTTTAATCGCTTACGTATCGCTCGCCTGAGGCCAAATATTATTACCGCGACTCGACGCGTTTCGTTCATGCCACGCGCTTTAATTTAATATATATGGATAGTTCTCTTTTGACATAACGCCTATAAGATGATACCTCGACACTTTCAGCGTCGATATAGATACTTTTGAAACGCGAATGCCTAATTCGGATTCAAATCACGCGGGAGCTTTCGATTTCGAACAGTCTTACGCGCACGTGCGAAATTGCAAGCGGCTAGGCGGATCTGTTTCACTTTCGAGCGGCCCATGGAACGGTTATGTGTAACGTTAGAACCGGAGAAAGTCACGGTGGCTGCTAAACCGATCGGCTAAACTTAACATTCATGGCGTA